TTACAAATTAATTATTTGGACTTAGAATATTTTTCGTGTTAATTAAATACAAATAAACTATCATTATACCAACAACTTGTCATTTTAATTCAAAATACCATCAATATTGAGTTGAAGTAGTTGGCACGTTACAGTACTTTAAAGCGGTCATATTTTGATTTTCTCAATAGGTATTTAATGTCACGGGAAAAACCACTGACAAATTACTGAAAAACCTCTAAAACGGGATTTTAATTTCTAACGATTTGTTTATCACTAGTAGGTTACAAGTGGTTTAATGTATAATGGATTGTATTAAATTTGAATTCAATGATATAATATCATTGTATAAGAAAAACGATTCTGAGCGACTGAGCGGAGTCGGTTTTTCGGATATTTTATATTGTTATTATTTATTATAGCCTGTAAGTTGAATTAATATTAATATTTTTTATTTTTTATTCGTTTCAATGGTGATAAACAAAGCATTAGAAATTAAAATCCATTTTTAGCTTTTTTTCGTAATTTTTCGGTGGAATTAATTAACTATTGAGAAAATTTAAAAATGACCTCTCTATAAGGTACTACTTTGATCCAATGTGCTAAAAGATAAGATACTACCTATATATGTTGAAATCTAAGCATTTCTTCTGGTAGAAATTCTGTATACAGGATAAAAAAAAACAAAAATAACTGTAAAAAACTTGTAAAACCACTAGCTTCAGTAGCGTCCTTGCTCTGCTCAGAATCTAATAACAATATTATAATATTAATTCAACTTACAGGCTTTAATAAATAATAACAATATACAATATCCAGACTGTCAAACCGTCTCCGCTCAGAATCGCTTTTCTAATACAATGATATTATATCATTGAATTCAAGTTAAAAACAATCTATTATAAATTGACTTACTTGTAACCTACTGTACAGCAGAGCGACATCCACTTACCCGCTTTTTTAAACTTTATTTGTTAATATTTTTAATTTTCTATATCATAATAATTAATAAGTACCTGGCTTAGATAAATTACATGAAAAAAAATTCTTTAAAATATAACAACAAAGTATAAAAACATGTTTTATACCTATAGGTATAAGAGATTTTAATATGGGTGTTTTCGATTATGTAGGAAGTAGCCTTAAGTGAAAAACTCATGGGTAGGTTATTGATGATTAAGAGGAAATGTCGACTATCTGGTATTAGTAGGTATGCAAATAATTATAATAAATTATATACGTAAATACAATTGTTATTGTTTAACCTTTATTTTAGCTTAGTTTTATTTACAGTTAATATTTAGGTACTATCCAATGTTTCAAATTATCGGCATTAATTTCATATCATCAAGGAAAAGCGGTATAAGGTTGTTTTAATTTGAAATACACATTTTCTTATCCAATTTTGTCCCAAGTAGAGGTACCTACTTAGATTATAAACATAAATATACCTTCTCGTCCAAACTATTGTCCTTGTGGCAGGGATTACACAATCGGAACGCACCTAACATGCGTTGTTTATAATATGCATTGTTGCAACTCGTTACCTACTCATTTAAGTTACATGTATAATAGGTAAGTACCTACTACCTATTATAATATTATTTTATATACGGACATCAAATTGTATCAATGTCAATGTTAAATTATCAGTTCGTGTCAAAAGTGGGATCCGTTCCGTAAACATGTAGGATGATAATCCGGAGGCGGATTCGCAAAGTAGGATGCAAAATAATAAATGCTCTTAATTCATGTCGACCTTGTATCTTGAAAAAAAAACAGATTTAAATTGTTTTTCTCGTAAGCGAGGAGACAATATTTTTTTGATTCAACGTTATTATTATCCTAAAAAGACGATCAAAACGATCCCATTGAACATGACGTATCATACAAGCACAAACAGAATAGTAAAATAATGAGCTTGAGAATGGTGTTCGTGGGATAGTAAATAACTGTATGGTAAATAATATATTAAGTATACTATGTGCTACCTAATAATGAGAAAATCCTTGAGATATTTTCATTCAGAAACTTTATTGAATCAAAATGCACACAAAATAAATTTTTCGAAGACATAACACAAGATTCCGAATTAGGGAACGTTTCAAGGATATTTTAAGAAAAAAAAACTATGACCAACGCAATCGTAAGCTTGATAATTAAAAAATATATTTACTATTCATAAGTACTTCCATTAACACTTGTACATCGACGTACGTGGGTAAATGTGTAATGTACTTTGAGTAATTATAGGCATATAATATAATATCTGTTTAATATCAAATAACTACGATAATCTATAAAAAATATAATCTGTTGACTGCTTTTAGTTGAAAACAAGAAGTTAATGTCACGACGTAAAAACCATAAAATGTTTCTGATTTATATTATATATAAGAGCTGATTTGCAGATTACATTTACGCTGTTAAGAACTTTAGAAATGTAGCAATAGATCATGATAAATAATCAATATAATGTTTCGGTGAAAGTGAACCTTCAGGCCTGCGTGATTTTAATGTTTATAGGGCTCATACGTACGTTATTTGTATATTGTTTCAGTTAGTAGATCGTGGTGGACAACATAGTTCCAAGGACTTTTGTTTGTACGACGGACTAACAAGCATCATTAGATCCAAAGCCAACGCAATATATTATAAATATACAATTTATGTTCTACGAAATGTGTAATATCATACATCTGCACCAGCTAGCAAAAAGCTGGTGGAGCAAAGGTGCAAAGAAATTTATACAAATCAAGAAACAATAGACATTTAGCACAAGAATTTAATTCTTTGTTTAAAAATCTTAGTTTATTAACATTCCGAGAATATTTCAGTAGTGAATAATAATTCATACGCAAACAATAAACCAATTGTTTTAAATTATTATAACCTATATAATAATATAGTAGTCGGAGTATATTTGGTAGGCAATAAACCGGCTTCATTATTTTCAAAATCAGAAGCATGAATTACTTTTAGTCAACATTTTAATTAAGTACCCAGTCTAATAATTGATACATATATATTTTTTCCATTGTTAACTTATTTTGAAATTCTAGCCAATGCCTAAAGCTAACGTCTCAAATTAATTAATGTTCAGAATTTCAAGTGTACCCGATGGACATAAGTATACCTATACTAAAGGGTTAAGTAATTTTCTTTGTAAGTAAATAATTGAAAATATATCCCATTGCTGGAATGTCTTAAACAATTTTGATGTAGAAATGTTGTTTATGACAATTGATAAGTAGGCAATATACAACAATTTATTCAAATAAATACAAAGTATTGATAATTTCTCAAAATATATTAGAATAATCTATTATAAAATATTAAAACATACCTGCTGCAGTTATCACTCATGAGAATCATTGAGAAATTAGTGATGTTTTCTAACTTGCATACAAAATGTATCAATATTCGTTGTACTTATCTATTATTATCGTCTCTAAAATATAGTATAGCTACTTCTGTACAATATCAACTATAATACTTATAAGTGTTAATTAATAACAAATATCAAGTCAGCAGATTAAATCTCAATATTTATCGCAATGTCCAATTGAATTATAAGCCATATACCATCTACATTTTTCTATAAGTAGGTATATAGTTTCTTGAAGTAGTGTAGTACAATAGTATATATTATTATATAATACCTACATGAACATAATGCTATATCATATATTCACTAAATACTCATATATACCCATTATGTTGGCAGATATACAACAAGGCGTCAAGGCCTAACATAGTTTAACTTATAAAAAACACAATATTTTATTTGTATCCATGTGTGTGCGATGTACTAACGAGAAATAAATATAATATGCATCATCATGCATATAAGATGTAACACATTTAATTGTCAATAAAATTATCTTCCCATAATTGCATAATAGGTATACATTTTATTATTAATAACATGTATAATAGTAAGTAGGTAATAAAATCCAGCTAAATGTATATACGTAACAGTAGTAGAACGTGTTCTTCTTTCCGCCACCTATATGTATTTGACAAATATCAATTTCAATAACGGCTATAAATATTACGTACTTCATAAATTAGACTAGGTAGTACATAAGACAAAATACTGGTTTTTATTATATCATAAAAACTATATAGTGCCAAAAAAAATTTTTTATTTACTTAATTTTATGTATACTTACGAAAAAAATTAAAATACCATTCTAAAAATATACTTATTACAGAATACTATAACTTATAAGTTATAATATAATATATGTGTACCTATAAAATATAAATACTATGCTCTATACTAATATAATATATTATAGTTTATAGTCTATATTAACTTTATAACTAACTATATTATAATATGCAAGCAATGTAAAAATATTTTAGATTTTAGAGATTAAAGAGATTTGACAAAAAAAATTTAAAAAAAATTAAGTTGTAAGTTGTTTCTTCACAAACAGAGTGGCTTCAACTGAAGGAATTTAAACATTTAAGTACAGTATAGACGTAGGAATAGAACATATAATAGAGAATAATTTCAAATAAACTTAAAATATGAATCTCAAGTAGAAAAATACGAATAACTATAATATTATCAGTACCTGTGAGTAATAATAATGATTTCCTCCAGTGTAAATTATATCAATAAAATATTTAAAGAAAATTGATTGATCAAGTTTTACATGCACGTCTAAAAATAACTATCCAAATGTTCATAAAAAAAAAAACAATCAAAAGTTAATTTAATTTATTCTACTACCTTAATTAGTTACTCCACATTTTTTAAAATTAATTTACCTTACGTCTTTTTTCAATTATTTTAAAACTTTAGTGAAAAATAGATTAATTCCACCCAATAAGAATTTAATAAAAAGATTTACTTACGATTACGACGGAGTACAGTCCGAAATCCATTTCGACGTCGACTGTTGTATTTCCGATGGTAATTGACAGTGAAAACGATAATATTATAATATTATATAGTTATACAACGGCTAAGGCGACGACGATAATACTACACGCCACTGGTTATAGTGATGGCACAAACATCAACACCACGCTATATTGGCACAATATTGCGATTATTACCACAAAAACGACAGCACATGGACGACATGGGAGTACGCGACGCGACCGGCCAGGACGGTATGATGTCCAGGTGTGTGACGGTGTGTGCCATTTCGGACCAGCCGCTGTGGTCGTCGCGTGCCCACTCGAGGATCTGCCCACGCAGGGGCACGCCCGGTTCGCGAATGTCCAGCACTCGCGGTAAATCCATATAATAAATAGGAATAAAAATCGTTTTTGTTTTTTTTTGTTATTGTCTGGAAGCTGTTTTATTGTTGTATAACACCCCGATAAGGCCGTCGCCGCCGCCGTTCCCGATTTATTGTCTTGACCCCTATAATTCGCATATACCTACCTATAATAATAATAATATTATATTATGTCTAGTCGATAATATACCAGTTAAATGTACACAATGGTCATAAAATATAAACGTATGATGTCGTGTATAAACATAATATTACAGTAACAGCTCCGATGGAGTGATAAAGAGTGAGAGAGAAAGAGAGAGCGAGCGAGTGAGCGAGAGAGACTAAAGAGACATGAACGCCAACGCTGACGACAGCGGTCCGCGCGCGACTTGACCCGGGGCAACACGTTTATATTTCGTATATTATATACACACGACGACGGTCGACGGGAATTTGATGAAACGGATACAAGCTGCAGGAACGACTGCACGAGGAAACAGCGAACACAAAGATGACGTAACGACCACGTTACATATTATTGCCGCCACCGCCACTGACCATTCGACAAGATTTATACACAGTTATCGTTTTATTTGATTGATACAGCGGGGGTAGGGTGGTGGTGGAGAGGAGAGAGTGTGAGAAAGTGGTATGCGGGGAGTGGGTACCTATATAGGTATTTCTATTACTTAAAACTGTGCAGTCTTTGTCTGGAGACTTACACAACTCACAACGTTATACCTGGACAACCGTCAACCATAAATTAATGTATAAATAGGTATAAAAAATCTCGACCAGGAGGGGGTTGGGTGGGGGCGGCTTAACAATACGAGAGCGTCCAAAACTTTATTCTTCCTAGTATAAAAAGAAAACAATATACCAGATATACCTATATCCTTGGTCCCATAAGCCTCAACCCGAGTAATCCTAATAGACGATGAATATTTTTATTTGTATCCTTAATATATACGCGGACCAGTTGACAATATTATTTTGACATTACGCCTATATATAATATTGGTACATAAAGGGTATTCAAAAAGTTTCAAAACGGTCATTAGACTAATTGGGACAACTTAACTATAAGAATATGATATAATTAATGAGGAGATTAATTAATATTATACCTAATAAATGTGCAGCAACTAGTGGTATCTGTTATTGCTATATTATGTAGATTGTAGGTATACGCAAACAGTAATTAAAGCGTTTCAAAATGTTTTGAACACCTTGTAATCATGTTAACGAACAAGTTCAGCATTTGTGTTAGACGTTTGTGTACAACCCACATAGTGACAAGCACTATTATTATTAATAATATTAGTTAGAACTTAAAAGCTTATAACATAATACAATATGCCAAGGCTGGGCATTAACGAGTTAATAAGTTAAAGTTAAGTTAAAAAGTTAAGTTACTTTTAACTAAGTTAAATAACGAGTTACTTTTTTTTTTAAAAGTAACTTCTAACTTAACGATTTACATTTTTCCCCAAGTTATTCAGTAACTTAACGAGTTAATTAATTGTATTGGCACGTTAAGTTAATTTTTTCCTAAACCACATATTATTTAAAATTAATTCAATTTTGTAAAATTAATTACATAAAAAAAAACCCCGAAATATTAAATATATTTTATTAAATAATAATTTATAATAATAGTAAGTTTTTATATTGCATATTCACAGAAAATATTTTATAACTATATTATAGAGGGAAATATCATAGGGGTAACCGCATCAAAGAAAAATATAACAATTTACTCAGTACCTAACCTATACCTAATCATTATTAATATCATTACTTATTATTATATTTTTATTCATTCATAGAATTACGATGATAACTTGGCCCGTCGATGTAAATAATACCCGTAGTAGTGTGGTATTTACTATTTACCTAATTAAAGTATAATACACAAAATTAATATAAGTACCTACAGTAACTAATTTTATTACAAACATTTATTCAAATATTGTAAGACATTTTTTGATTTACTGAATTATTATGTTATTTGTTAGCGGTAGGTAGGTAAGTATAATTGTTAATTTTATTTTAAAAAAAAAAGTAACTTATTTTTAACTAAGTTAAGTTACTTTTATTTTCTAATTAACTTGTAACTTTTACAAGTTAAAAAAAAAATGAAGTTAACTTTTAACTTTAAGCTTAACTTACATTTTTCTATATTAACTTAACTTAACGAGTTAAAAAAAATAGTTAACTTGCCCAGCCTTGCAATATGCACGAGCTATAAAAAGTTCTAATTATTATATTATTTTATTATGAGATAAATTAGTGACATTAAAATCAATAGCCCTGCCCCGATCGTATACGATAATATGAAAACATGCATGGCGCCCAAATAATATAATAGTCAACATCCCTTGGCATATTAATATATGTTATGTTGAGACACTGTCACACTGATGGTTCGTCATCTTTGTCACACATTCAAAAACAACAGCGCAGTTGTATTTTATAGGTATCAAGCTCATAACGAAAACAGCTATGAAATAGGTATGAATATCATATTATGGTAAGGTGCATTTACCACAAACATTAATCGTTTTATCGTTTTAGTCAAAACATAAAAGTAGATATTCTATGCTACAATTAATAGCTACTCGGGTAAAACGCGCATACTTTTTATCCTATACGTCCCGTTATAAAAGACTCAGGTACAGCTGTACATACTATTGTTGACAGTTTTTTCCATGTTCTTAGGTGTGGTTGTAATATGTTTGATGTAAAGCATATCAATGCAAAGTGTTTAATGGCCGTTGGTGACCTATATACCGCAATAGTCATAATATCATAAATATTAAAATATGTATAGGTATAGGAACAATAAGAAGCCACAACAATAAATATTGTATTATCCGTAGCGTTTAAGTCTAAAATAGAAATTACAGAATAGTTATTGCTGTTCCACATTAGAAAGATGATAATATTATACAGATTAAAATATTTTATATTCTTATTTACTAAGATTGTCGTTTTTAATTTCATATTAAGTACTTGAAAGATTATTACCTATAATAGCTTAATATATATTATTATAAAATTCTAAATCATAATTTATTCATATTCAATAATATACTAATAGCAAATATAATGAATTCATTGTTGAATGAAAAAAATGAATTGTATTATATACAGAATCATTATGTACGATTTACTTACGTGGGTAGGTTTATAACATACACAAATGCCACAAAGCAAATAAGTCACAATTTTTTTTTTTTTCAGGTCTAATGACAGCAGTATATTATTATGCTGACATTCGTTTACGTCAAGGTAACTACCTAACTAAAATCAATAACGGTCAATTAAAATTAGTTTTTAATGTTACAATATAGAGTACCTATAATATATACTTTAGTAATATTATTATGTTTAGCTTAATTTTATAATTTTTTTTTATTCATTCATGAAATTAATTAATCATATTATTTCATTTATAGTTTATGCTTAAACATAATATTGCAAAAAAAAAAAATAGCATAAATAGCATAAGATTGTATTAAATTTCAATGTACCAAAATGTATTGACGGATTGTATCCAATTAACGTTGTTTCTTTTTTTTATAATGGAATACGGAAAGTATATACTTTTATTAAATTTAACTATAAAATACACGTACAACAAGAAAGTCAACTTGATATCTTCCGGATGGATACGTAGGAAACCAAGGAAGTTATTTTTTAATTGTAGTTATAATAGATATTTTATACCTATATTAGGAAAACTCATCCAACTTTCGATTTTTAATAATTAATTGTGTAACATATCGTATTATAGGTAACGATTTATAAACAAAAAATACCTTAATGTCATCGGAATCATGATATGGTATAGAGCAGTATAGGAAATAATATATTTTACAAACTTCCATTTTTCAAATGAAAACCGTCTCCTTTTGTACCTAAATTATTTATTGGACAATTTTTTTTAAATTATGAAGTACTTAATTTGTAATTCAAATGAGCAATAATTTTCAGTTATTAAAATGTTTATATTATAATTATAGTATTATAGTAATCCTTTAAAATCGTTTTTAAAAAATTAAAATAGATGTAAAATTGGATCTAGTATTTAATATTATATACTTGAACGATTTTTATAAATTATAAATATTGATAGGTTAAGTCACTATGATTTTAAAACTACCACAGCTCCTATATTTTCCGAACCAATTACCATTGATTTTTTATCCATCATATATACAAACTTAAATAACTCAAAAACTTATCTTTTTGAATTTTGATATCAATAGTCAACATTTTCAGAAAAAATATTTGCTGAATATTTCACAGTAGAAAGGAGTGGTATAAATTGAAAAACAGAAGTTTGTATCCCCACAAGGAACTCTTAACTCTTAAAGTGGTACAATATATCTCAAGAATTTAAAAATATGGCATTTAAATATCTTCAGGGCTTGCAAGCATTAAAATAACGTTATAATTGACAAAAAAAATATTGAAATTTGAAAACAGAATTACAATAAAATACAGTAAATAAAAATAATTAAATACCAAAAAACAAAACATAACGATTAAAAAAATATGTAATACCTGTATCATTAAATAAAACATAACACAAAACGTAATTTATAAAATTTCATCAAACAAAATTTAATGCAAAAAGATAGAATTTATAAGTTATAATTAATATTGGTTTTGTAAAAATATTTATTTCATGCAATTTATTTTTGTCTTGCCAAAAACTCTAAGAATTTATTGTATATTATTTATCCGGGCCTATCTCTGCATTAGTTATTTTTTTTTTAAACTTAATAGTATTACATATTGTGCAAAATAACGTTTTACATAATTTGTCCAACGTTTTAATTTTAAAGAACGATAAACGCAAAACTTGTTTTATGTTTTGATTTTAATTTTTAAATAACTATAAATGCAAAAGTTGTGTAACGCTTTATTGTAAATAACATACAACATAGTTTTTTTCCAAATTCGAGCCCTGAATATATTTCAAAATGTCAAAAATCAGATTTTTAATGACTGCA